CGGCGCTTTGCCGGGTTTCGCGAAATAGACTTTAACTACCTTTTGGGAAGGCGCAACAAGTGGTTCTTCAATGCGCAGAGAGGAGGCGTAGGAGGTAGGGTACTTTAAAGAAATAGGAAGCAGTCAGTTCGTCTACTTACTAGAAGCGCAGAGCAGCGGCCACACATAGACCGAGGATGAGCAGCTGCATAGTCCACACGAAGAAGGTATTGAAGTGGTCAAACATCTCCACGTACATATACCAGAAGAGACCCATGTTGGGCGTAGTATTCACGGCGAAAATGCTGAAAAGGCGTGAAGCAGGTGTAAGACTAAGAGGCAACACAGAAAATCGATTCGTTTTAAAGAAGGAGTCCTGAGGTGGCATGTAGTCGGGAGTGGAAAAAACAACTAACTTTGAAAGGTAGGTATAACGCAGGAAGCCCCAATCACCACCATCAAGGTATGCGGATGCGAGCAGCAAACCACCAAGGCACAGAACAAACGCCAGAACCGACTTGACTACTCGAATAGGCGTCTAAAATAGGAAGAAAAAGAAAATAGGAAAGCAATGGTCCAGCTGATGACTGCACAGACGGGTGGAGGTAAATCAAGACATAATCACGGGCCCGAAAATGGCCGAATACCAGCGAGAGACTAGCCATTTTTACGGGGGGGGGTAATGATCCCAACGATGACCCCACAGACTACAGATGTCTTGTTAGCGAGTGAAAATGAATCCGGATATAACCGACAGTTAGACCGTCGATGTCCATCCTGTGGTTTACAGTATGATGGTGCAAGGACGGTGAATTAGTTTAACTGATAGCATGACTGCACTGCAGCTATCATACTCTCCCTCTCTCTTCCCTCACTCGCCTGTACCTGCGGTTTTAGTAGGGAGTTAAGAAGACCGGAGGTAGGAGCGGGTGCGTGGGGTTGGTGCAGCTGGAGCCGGTCAAAAGACCACCGGTGTAAATTTCTAATGTAACCACAGAGTCGAAAAATACTGAATGCCAGCGGGAGACTGAGAGCAAAGAAGGGGGTCTGTGTAAATCAGGGCCTACGTGTAAAGCAATGAGCAGCTGAAAATCGCAAGCGAACAGACAAAAGAATTTTACTTAGGAAGAAAGCCCAGAAGATGTAAAAAGGGAAAATACGAAATACTTGATATTAGATAATGACCTAGTCTCCTCTAAGCTCGAGGATTTAAGCTGTCAACTACAAAAGCCTACACGTATGAGTATAGAGTAGCACATTTAAAATAAAGTCTATTTCCAGCTAATGATAACCGAAGTGATCAACGGATCAGGAAAAACTGTCTGGCGAATTCTGTGTCAAGATTACCAAGATACTGGGCTGTGTACATTATTTCTAAACAAACAACGGTTAAATCTATGCAGCGCAGTTGCTACGTGATGAATTGAGCCTAAGCGTCACAGTTGGGAGAACTTATAGAGGTTAACACTTTTAGTGATCAGAGTTAAATTTGAAATAATCCATGCCTCATTTACAGCATTAGTCAAAAGCCTACATAGGTAATTCAAACTTCACGTGAAAATGTTTAGGGAGGTACAGGTTGCCTACAAGGCTGCAAAGACTGACCCAGAGTCACTAGAGAGAGAGAAAAAAAAGTTGACATCATAACAGTGAAATGCAATATTTTGAGCCAACACGGAGGAATGCCCAGTTTTCCAGCCGACTTATATTAAAAATGCCACCCGCACTGAGCGACTGAACAAGTTGAGGGTAGTAGGAGCAGACAGAAGAGTAGGCGATAATCCGAGTAAAAATTCTGCCAGAATGAATTTTCGAACTACATGCGGCTATATCAGTTATCGGCTTTCACTCACTGGTTTTAAAAGTTACGTCTTCGACCTTTTAGTAAAAAAAAGTCATGTAGCCTCTCTCCCCAATTTGGCACGGCAAACACAGCCTGATGAAGACAGCAAAAACTGAAGTTTTCTGGCGACCTCGTGCTAGTTGGATCCGTGTATTTATATGATATTTTCTGGAGATGTACTTGTAATTTTATAGGAATGGTTTACAGAAATGTGCAGTAAAACAGGCAACCCTTCAGAATGAGAGATAGCAGCCTTTGATGCAAGCTGTGCGTAGTCAAGAAGCAAGTAAACGGAATAAAATCAGCGTTTATTACTTAGTACTCTAAGGGCATGTGTATTAGTGGGATTAGCTAGGATCAAACATAGGCGTTAGCCAGCCTAATTCCAAAAGATCCCACTTGAAACTGGAAATAAGCAGTCGATTAAGTTATTCAAGATTTTGACAGCCAAAAATTGGCGTTATACTTCCCATTTCAATGCTTAGCAGCGTTGAAAAAAGTTCAGGACAAGGAGAGAACTAGAAATAGAGGTTAATAAGGCACCCCTGGAATGCACAAGTTCCAGAAAATTTGGCCAATCTAAAGGTATCTTAAGTTTGTGAAACCAGAGTATACGTATAGCTACCATGAAAACAGTTTGCAAAAAAAAAACAATTGGAGAAGTCAAAATATACATCAACTTCATGCCAATTGTTAATTATAAATGCAGGAAGACTCACATGGCGGACCTGTGCGATGACGGCGAACAATAAATATCCCGAGTATATGTTGATATAGCAACCGATGGCACACATAATACTTGCCAAAGTCGTGTGGTCTGGAATAAAAGACGCGGAATAAAGAAAAGAATAGTAATGACTCAACTCATTATCAGCGTGTATCTAGACATAATCTAAATTTATACTGATGAAGTGGAGTCCACCAAACTGGCCCCTTGTAGTATGGACAAAAAATGTTTCTTCGAAATTCTAGTCTGAAACCCCTGAAACTAACAGAGCGTCGGCTCACGCCTTGGAGGGTAAAATGGTTTAAAAACCAAATGATTTACGGTTCAAATTCTGCATTCATGAGCTAGTGTGGTATGACCGGAGTAAAGGTTGTTAAAAATTATGTCATCTACGAAAGATGGTTAAAGTGACGGCAAGAAGCGTAACATAAACCGAATTGTCAGTTCGAAGCTGAGTGAATGAACGAATGGCCGAAAAGAATATCAAATATCACCTGAGGCCATTCCAATGAACGTCCAAGTAATTGTGAGCGTAGAAAATATCCCGACGGATTGGCTTGCGAATGAGAAGATGGTGTATGGATTGAAACAGTACCTGTGAAGAACCGAGGGCAGGAGAAGTTATACATAAGTAATTTATGCGGTAAACTACCTACTGACAAGGATTTGGTGAATAATCACCAGCGATAGTTAACAGAGAACAGGAAATGTATAATGTTTTATACAAAAGGAACTTGACTGTGACCCATGCCTAAAGAATCCAAGTGCAGTAGACAACTTAAGTTTTTGCGAATGAAACTAAAGCACACTTTTGCGCAAAGCAGCTGATAGTAGATGCTTCAGTGAGTTTACGCTAGTAACCACAAACTATTTGAGAGGAATCGGCGAAGCTTGTGTGGGAAAAGTACAAAATCACTGTGGAGCAAATTTTACCGACCTATCCTACTAACAGGAAGGGACGTGAAGTTAAGGGGGAAAATTCGAAAATCCATACTTTATTCTGAAACGAAGATAAAAAAAACCCAGCGCCACGAAGACGTGGCATTGACTACGCCAAATTTTAGGACTCCATGACTAGCTGACAACGAAACATATGCCAGCAACCACGTTTTTGTCTCTGTTAATAGAGCATCCCGTTTATAGAAGGCACCACTCGTGGCTGCAAATTAAATTTATAAGGAGTTAATGCGACAGAAAAATTGGCCGCACTTGAAGAAGCGATTAAAGGCGAGACTATCAGCAAATAGAATTTCCTCTAGATACTTTATAGCAGAGTGAATCGGAACAATACTTACACAAAAGTTGCAGCTGGTGACCAATCGTTTACCGAGAAATTTTTCATTGAAATATCATATATTATGAAGGAGAAGAGTGCTAAAAGTTCCAGAATCTATAAGTGTTTGGGCACTGGATTTTGACCTACCCAAAACATTAGACGATCCCACATAAGCGAAGTTAGGGTTTTTAAGGAAAATAGAAAAAGTGGCGGCTAAAAAAGAAGTATATGAAGCATTCGGTTTACTTCTTTTAGTGCCATGGAAGCATCGGTGACATTAGGATTCCGAAATAAAAATATTTCCTCGCTTACTAGAGCACACGATCAAATAAAAGTAATGGTTACCTCTCTCCCAATCTTCTGTAGCAGCATGTGCAATACTATTGAGGAAATCTGCTGGACAATACTTTTGGCAGAAGAATCTCAATATTGAGCCAAGGATACAAAATTTGATGATATTTACGCCTGCACTCATTGATATGAAGAACGCCAAGTATGCACAGCTATAACACCAAACTGAATAATACGCAAGCTCGCAGACGAACGTTTGGTGACGGCAGAATGCATTTCCGTGTTCAAGTCAGCGAGAATGGTGTAAGACCTTAATAGTACGGCATTCGTTTGAAGTCAAGGAAGCGGAGACTTTATGCCACATGGTCAAAAAATCACAAAATATGGTGAAAATCCTGCAGATATGTCCGCGGGGGCTGTAAATAAAACGAAGTTACGACTGATGCCCAAGAAAAATACACGAATAGGATTGAATGCGGAGAATTTCTTTGCATTTCCGAAGAACCTAATGAGATTTTAGTTGATTCGTCTGCAGTTTCGTTCCTACAATCTAATTTTAATTTAGCATTGCCGATGAAAATTTTAGAACTCGGGATCAGGACAATGTTCTCGGCTCTATTCAAGATGCGTAACAACAATTTCAGCATTTAAATATCTGAAACAAGAGAATAAAAAATCGAAGTGATTATGAATCCGTTCTAAAAAAATACACTTGGTAAAACTTATAAAAATGTGGTGAAGGTGAATAATAAATGCAAAAAAGTCAACCTACTGAATGGCACTCAACACGACTAGCGCAAAAGGGCGTGGATATCTGTTCCTTCGCTTAAGGTAAACAAATGCGCATCATAACTATGGTAAGTTTGGTTCAAAATTGAGTGTCCATTCTGGAACGAAAATATATAATGTAGGTAACCTATATCATGAAACGTGATGAGGATAGTTGAAACGATAAATCGTCGGCAAATAAAATAATGCACATTTTTTAAATTTACCTACACTTTTCCGTAAAATGGACATCTGTGAGTGCAAAATATGTTTATTAATAATTTTATTAGTCAAAGAGTTCACAACTTTAAGCGTTATTCAGAATCACAATCGGTGATCGAACTGTCGGTGGCAAATATGTTGGAAAGGATTTTGTATTTTTAGAGATCGGGGAATGAGGTGCATTTCACCGTCGCGTATGCAGAAATTCCCCCAGTATGCCCCGGTAGTGCCTAAATGTGTGCAGACAGAGTTGGTCGTTGAGACGGGTGCGTTAGGTGCATCTCGGAGTCACATGTACTTGTTCGCCGGTCTGCCTGCGTCGCAATTGAACGATCAAGCAGTACGGTCGCAGTGAGGACACGTTAGGGTGTGGGGGTGGTTATGTAGGCGCATTATGAACTCAGAAGGCAAGCCGCTGTGTAATACGCCATGAAAAGTAATATCACCGCTATACTCTGTTTTTGTTAGCTCGTCAGCCTTAGTTTATATATGGGGTTCTGGCCGTTCTGGGACCTTGCTGCCAATGGCGCATAATTAG